CCATCCATCAATCCATCCATCCATACATCCATCAATCCATACATCCATCAATCCATACATCCATCAATCAATCAATCAATCCATCCATCCATCAATCAATCCATACATCCATCAATCCATACATCCATCCATACATCCATCAATCAATCAATCCATCCATCCATCAATCCATACTACATCCATCCATCCATCAATCAATCAATCAATCCATCAATCAATCCATACATCCATCAATCCATACATCCATCCATCCATCAATCAATCAATCAATCCATCCATCCATCCATCAATCCATCAATCCATACATCCATCCATCAATCAATCCATCCATCCATACATCCATCCATCAATCAATCCATACATCCATCAATCCATACATCCATCAATCAATCAATCAATCCATACATCCATCAATCCATACATCCATACATCCATCAATCAATCAATCAATCCATCCATCCATCCATCCATCCGGTTTGTACCACAATATTGGCATTTTCAAATACCGTGGTATTTTTATACTGCAATATTCATTACATGGTACTTCAAAAAATACGAGTACCATGGCACAAGTCAAATAACCAGGGTGATGTGTATAATCAGACAGCAGACAGAGATTTCCACACGTGATCGTGGTCTTTATTGGTCAGGCAAATGTTAACACTTGATGATGCAATACATTCAAACATCAATCGGTGCTCTAGCGATGTGGACTTCATGGCGCTTCACACCGGAACAAGGAATTTTGACTTCTTTCCGAGAACTTCAGAGAGAGAGAGAGAAATGTGCTTTGAAGCGGAACACTATTGCAAGGTGACGAGGTGACAGTGGGGGCGACAGGAGCGAAGGACATAAAACAGCAAAACGAAACGCCACTGCTTCTCACACTCTCCTACGATTAACATTGATTTCTGTGGGTGACATTTTTCAAACAAAGTGTTGACAGAACAATGTGCCGAGGCCCAGAGATCAAAAGTGTCGAGGACAGCGCTCGCAGGACAGACGGCCCGTCTAAAGCGTGACCTTTGAACAGCGCCACTGTTTGGATGCGTTTAAATGGCAGCCATGGCCTCAGACTCTTTGGGTCGGTTGAGGACCACATGTTCCAGCTGTCCAGAGTCTGACACGTCGTAGCTGGTCTTGTACTTGGCCAGGATCTTCATGAGTGGACGTAACTTCAGCCACCACTGTTCGTTAGGGATTCTGTGACTGAACACACAAGAGAGAAGGTCTAATATCATTACAGATACAAAATATTTGATCCTGTTTGAGAATATAAGAACTGTGGTGTGTACTTACACAAAGTCGGTCTTGTCTTTGAGCTGAACCACAGGCTGGAAGACCATCGCACGCCACCGCATGCCCAGCAAACAGGCCGAGTCTTCTGTGTTAGCAAACACTCTCCCTACACAACACACACAGATTCAACACACAATCACTAAACTGCCAATAAAAACCAATCAAAACAAAACAGTGGAAATACACAGATTAACAAAACAAAAAAATTACATTTATATAACTTAGTATATTAATAGTTAGTATTTATAGTCTATTATAGTAATTATAGATATTATATAGGCATATTTACAATAGTGAACTGGATAAAATAAAATAATAATAATAATAAAAAATAAAAAAACCCAGTAAATCCACAATAAAAATTACATTTAAAAAATACTTATAAAAAAATAATGGAAATCCACAGATTAAAAACAATAATATTCTAGTTATATAGCCTAGAATATTAATAGTTAGTATTTACAGTATATTATATTAATGATAGATAATATATAGGAATGTTTGGAATAGTGGAGTGACTAAAATAAAATAAAATCCACAGATTATATAAAAAAATCAAAATTAAATGTATATAGCCTAGTATATTAATAGTTAGTATTTATACTATATTACAGTAATTATAGATACTATATAGGAATATTTACAATAGTAAACTGGCCTAAATAAAATATAGTGGAAATCCACAGATTAAAATAATAATAATAATATTTATATAGCTTAGTATATTAATAGTTAATAGTTAATATATGTAGTATATTATGGTATTTATATATTGGAACAATTACAAGAGTGAACTGGCCTATTAAAAATAAAATTAAATAAATAATGAAAATATAGAGAATCCACAATTAAAGTGTATGTATATATATATATATATATTGAGGTTACCAAATCAGACTGATTAAAATACAAATTTTTACCTTCATCTTTATTCATCCACAGGCACAGCAAAAGTAATAAAAACACACACACACACACACACAATACTGAGCTGAAACAATACAGCGACTCTACAATAATATTTCAAAATCAAGTAAATCAAGGTCAAGGATTATGTTGATTACTGAGGTGTATGTCTGCAGTCATGATTACGCTTTAACAATACGACAATTACTGAGTGCCTCGTGAACAACAGCACAGCTCAGTCAGAAGCTTGAGTGCTGAGTGAGTTCTAATGAGAGCTTTAGTAAAGTTTGTTTCATGACCACATGAAGCGCATGACTGTTGACTTCATACCTTTTCTGTAGCTTTCATTCAGCTTCTTGGTGATCCACTGCATGGCCTTGGCAGCGATTTTGGTCCCAAAGTTACGGTCAAATGGAGAAGGAGCACCACCCTAGTGAAAGATAAATATATGGATAATAATTAATCCTTTAATATTTATTTATAATTTATTTGCATTTATTTGTTATTTTATTAGTTAATATTGTTTAGGTATAATATTTCTATAATGTTAATATTATAATTTAGGTTGCATAGAATCATCACTACCTGCGTCATTGAACTTGCAACACGAGACACAACAGACCCGCTAGATTTAAATCAGCACAGCCAGCAAAAGATCGAACGCAACTGTTTTGAACGAGTGCACCTTTTTTTAACAGCCAAAAAATGGTTTCATGGTCTGTTGAGGAAGTACACACATTCCTCTCGTTGATAGCTGAGGAGCGGATCCAGCGAGAGCTTGATGGGGCGACGCGGAATTAAAAAGTTTTTCAGGAGTCACGGCAATAGAGGTGGCAGAACTATAACGACTGTGATTAATCCCGCCCACTCTAACGCGGTACTAAACTGCAGTGGAAACACAAACCGAGCCAAGCCGTACCACGCAGGGGAAAAACGCCAAAAGTTCGCAATTTGTAATACGTGTAAGGCCAAAGTAAATCGTGGTGGAAACACCACAGGGGCAAGTGAGAAGAATTTTACTTGTCCAACCGGATAAGAAGCCTGATTAAAATGTCAATAACAAAAATAACGATTACACATTACACGACCAAGATGTTTCCCTGAATATCAACACGATTGCAATGTGACACTGATTTTATACAATAGTGGTTAAATAAACAAGAAGTTAAAATTAAGGGCTTACATTTTAGACTGCTTTTGCTCAATTTTGCTGACGAAGATAGTTTCAATCAAAGCCACAGCAGAACCGTTGTGTCTCCCAGCAACACACAGCGGTGTTTCGTTACTGAATGAATCCACGTTTTTGAACGAATCGAGTGAGTCAATGATTCAGTGGCCCATTCACAAAGACAGTCACTTGCCTTGTTTCTGAATGAATCAGCCGTTTGAACGAATCGGTTGAATGAATGACTAAATGACTCACTCATTAAAACAGTCATTTGCCTCCACCTACCTGCTGGTGGTAGGGGTGTGTGCGATATATATCGTCAGCGATAATATCGTAATTGTTGTTTTAACGATGTGCAATTTGACGTTATCTAGTATATTGCAAAAACCAAACCTACAGAGTGCGCACATACGTTACGTAATAAAGTCTAGCAGGTTAGACTAGTGCGTGTGTGATTTAGTGTGCGTTCTTTCACTGCATGATTCAGTTTTTAAAAATGCTTAAATAATGGTCACAAAATTCAAGATATGAGGGCAGAGAATGCATATATGCATATATTCATATAGTTAAACAATATCAGTGCTGTTTTTTTTTTCTCCAAAAAATCAGCATGATTACAAATGTGATATTGATTTTATACAACAGTTCAATAAACAATAATTTAATATTAAGAGACTTATGTTTTAGACACCATATTGCCTGTTTTTGCTCTATTTGAGCAACATAATGGTGTTTTGTTCCTAATGAATCAACCGTTTAAAGGCTTTGGTTCAATTGCAATGACTCACTTATTAATGGTGACTTGCTGCCACCTAATATAGTTAAACAATCTCAGTGCTGTTTTTTTTTTCTCCAAAAAATCAGCATGATTACAAATGTGATATTGATTTTATACAACAGTTCAATAAACAATAATTTAATATTAAGAGACTTATGTTTTAGACACCATATTGCCTGTTTTTGCTCTATTTGAGCAACATAATGGTGTTTTGTTCCTAATGAATCAACCGTTTAAAGGCTTTGGTTCAATTGCAATGACTCACTTATTAATGGTGACTTGCTGCCACCTACTGGCGGTTTTAATTTCACATTTAAAATATCTTTTCATTTTTTAAATAATTTCAAATATCAATATTCAACTTTTCATGTTTAAAATATCAAAACATTATTTATGCATTTGTAACTGCAGGTTAAAGCATCCCATGTCCCCTCGAGCTGCATGAAACACTGTGTAAATGCATCTAAATACCATTTTAGATGCAGCTTCTGTGTTTCCTCTGCACTGCAAAGATGAATTTTGTTGATACTGATTTAATTTGCCTGGTAACAGCCCAAATGTCTTATTATTCTAATTGACTGCTTAAATGTAAGAATTTGACTCAAAAGATGATACACACCTTTAGAAAAAATGTCTTTATAAAGGTAAAACTGCTCATAAAAGGTAACATTCAATTTAAACTTATTGGAAAATATTAATTTCTATCACTGCTGAGAACTGACCACCACACAGAATATGAAGAATATCAAAAACTTTAGGAACCAGTCCACGGTAAGTCCTTAAGATATCAGCACAACAACACACTCAGCAAAATATCATCTAATTATTGTTATCATTAAAATCCCAGAAAATATCGAGATATCTTTTTTTGTCAATATCGCACACCCCTAGCTGTTGGTTTGGTTTCATATTTAAAAGTATCATTGCATTTTGAAAAAAGATGCAGCTTCAGTGATGACTCAAAAGATGATACACACCTTTAGAAAAAATGTCTTTATAAAGGTAAAACTGCTCATAAAAGGTAACATTCAATTTAAACTTATTGGAAAATATTAATTTCTATCACTGCTGAGAACTGACCACCACACAGAATATGAAGAATATCAAAAACTTTAGGAACCAGTCCACGGTAAGTCCTTAAGATATCAGCACAACAACACACTCAGCAAAATATCATCTAATTATTGTTATCATTAAAATCCCAGAAAATATCGAGATATCTTTTTTTGTCAATATCGCACACCCCTAGCTGTTGGTTTGGTTTCATATTTAAAAGTATCATTGCATTTTGAAAAAAGATGCAGCTTCAGTGATTCCTGCAGTGGAAAGATGGAGTTTGTTGATACTGATTTCATTTGAAACTCTATAGTTTCTTATTATTCTAACTGAATTAATTGAAACAATGTAAGAATCTGATGTGATTCTTACATTGGTGTTTGTATATGCTGTCAGATTTTTGCTTTTGTTTGTATATGCTGTCAATTATAGTTCTTAGGAAGAAAATCGGAATCAGCAAAAATTGGTATCGGCAGGTGACACACAGAAAAAAAAAAAAAAA